GGGGCGCCGTCGGGGGACCGCCCCGCGGGCTCGGCTCGGCGGCGTCGGCGGCAGCGGGAGCAGCGCAGGGACGATGCAGTCAGCGAGGGGCAGGCATTGTTGAGTGATCTTCGTTATTCAGTTTCACAGGCTGGGCTTGGCAAGGGAGGGAGACACAGGCGGAGGAGGAGTCAAGGAAACTTTCTACGCTGCGGCTCGCTCCCCTTCCCTCCTTCCTTCCGAGCTGGCAGGAATTTCATCCAGGAAAGAAAGGGGGGGCGGGGGGGGGAGAGAAGAAAGAAAGCAAAGAAACCCCAAAGCCGCAGAGCCGGCATATCTGGGACCTGCACTTGTTGGACTGCGATGTCCCAGGGGCAGCTGGTGGGCACAGCACCCCCTGGCCTCTGGGACAGCCACTACGGTCCCACGGACTTGGAAGAGACCCCCTGGCCCCCATAGACCCCCTCCCGCCCCCTTTTCCATAGGAGGGAATTCAGACCCAAGTGGGAAATGAATTGTTCAAGGTCAAGGATCGGGGGCAGCCCAGAACTAGAGCTCAGGTCAGCCCTTTCTCCTCACCCTGTCTTCCAGGGCAGACAAGGAGGTTTGTCCTCAGGGGTCAGGCTGTGTGGGTTCCCCTGCAGTTGGGGTGGGGTGGTGGATAATGAGGCGCCTTCTCAATGAGCATCACGCCCTGCCGCTAAAGAGATGGGTGCAGGTTTGCACCCACTGCTCAGACCTTTCCTGCAGCACCATCAGGTCTAAGACCCAGGGATCCCCTTGATCTGCCCCAGAACCTAGCAAGGCAGCTAGACGGAGGGACCCAGTCCACCACGTGGAAGTCAGCGAATTGGCGCCACCTGGGGGTCAGTGCTGCAGCCGCAACTCATCCCTGCCGCTGCTTCCCTGGGTCTGTCCCAGGCCAACCGTGGCACCTGGGGTCAGGGGGGTGAGTGGCTAAACAGGACTCAGATTCCTGCTCTCTTCTTAAACCCGAGTGGGCTGTGAGTGCTGCCTTCATGTAGCTCTGACTTCCTCTGTTGTCTCCCGGGGGACGCAAGGCCCAATGCAAAGTCAAGGCACCCCGTGTGTCTCCTATTTGGGGCCCATCTGCCCAAGGCTCACCAACAGCCTCAGAGGCAGCCAGTATTCCATCCCATAGCTTCATACCCCAAGACGCTCTCATCAAGCCCCCTGCTACCAACTCCCCGGGGCCAGATGATTTGCACAGCAGGGCCAAGGAACCGGCAGTCTCTGACCTTGAATACAGAAGAGAATCGCCCTGCACAGAGGACCCTGGCCACCATTACCAGAAAGACCCCAAATGGGTGAGTCCTGCCCTCCCACGTGGGCTGCACTATAGCTTCGGCTCCATGCCCTGCCTGTCTGCAGCCCCCACCCCCCACCCCCCCACCTCTTGCCTTGGAAAAGCTAAGCCTGGGCCCACATCGACCTCAGCAGCAGTCCCTTGTGGTAGGTCATTATGGGCCAACCGCTTGAACCCCTGTATGAAGAGGGTGGATGTTGGGTTCACCTGGGGGAGCACCGAGCCTACGAACTTCATTCTGGAAAGGGGCCCAACTGAGCAGAAGCCCCCCCGCGCCTCCCCCCCCCCCCATTCTCCAAGTAGGCCTGTACTTGGTGGGGGTGGTTCAAGGAGCTGACCTCAACCTCTGGCTTTACTAGCAGGCACTTTGTCCACTAGTGGTGTCTGGCTCCACACAAGGGCCTCCTGTCCTGCCATGTCTAGGCCCCATGTCCTCTGAGACCCTCTACCAGGGCCAGTCTGCGCCAGGCATCGGGAACCTTGCTCTCAGAGATGTGTCACAGGGTGGGCTTACAAGCCTATTGTGTGTCCCGCAGGCTTCCTCTTGCCCTCTCTTCTGGTCTGTTTCTTCTCCTGGTTCCCCGGTCTGTTTCTTCTCCTGGTTCCCCCACCTCTTTCTCTCCCATGTCCATCCTATGGCAGATGGGAGGAAGGAAGAGAAGGAAACTGGCCACTCCAGCCCCAGGGAGCAAGCCCCCAAAGGAGCAGCCCCCTGAGGGAGCAGCCCCCGAGGGAGCAGCCTCCTGAGGGAGCAGCCCTTCTCTTTCCTTCTGGTCAGTTTGGCCCCAGGTCTCACCCTGGGAGGGCTGAGGCTGGCTGGGAGCATTGGTAGGGGAAGCCTGGCAGTATCGGGGAAAGGGAGGCAGGAATTCATTCTACCATGTGTCCTTGAGTGGGGGGGTCGAGTTGAGAGAGTTAAGGGGATGGAGGGGGGCCTAAGTAATGGGCTCTAAGTCAGGGCACCCAAGACTGGGGGGAGACTAAAGTCTGAGAAAACTGGGAAACTGGAAGGCTGAGCAGGGGCTGCTCCAGGGGAAAGCCAGTAGCCAGCTCCCAGTCCGCCCCACCCTGCTCATGGCTGCCCTCCTGGAACTCGTGTTGGGTCCACAGCCCACAAGTCTCTGAGGTCATTTCTTTCCTCCTCAGAGGGTGGACAGACAGAACACACTCAGCCTCAGGTGGTCACGTTCTTTTTTTTATATATATAAAGATTTATTTATTTTGTGCATACAGAACTGGGATACAGGCCAGAGGCTCAGGGCGGTGAGAGGCTTCACCAGAGACAGAGCGGGGAGCAGAACAGGCAGATCGATGAAGTACACTGCTGAGGGGAGCAGCGGGCGGGTCAGGAGAGGTCTGCCGCGCCATGTGGTCAGCTCCCGGGCAGGCGGGAATCGAACTCATGCGGAAGCGGCTTTAGATTCTCAGTGCTGTGCTTTAACCTGCTGCGCCACCAGGAGGGCCCGGTGGTCACATTCTTTATTCCAGGCACTGCCCCTTCTAAACACAGGGTTCTTCAGGGAAGACCTGCCAGAGGGGACTCACTGGGCTGGCCCTCCAGCCACCTGGGTTCCATGACCAGTGGGGCTCAAGGCAGCCCGTCCAGCAGTGCGCTGTTCAGACAGTTGTAGAGGTAGATATACTGCTCCTGGGGGCAGACAAGGTAAAGAGCCTCACCCTGTTTGCCCAGATCTGACCTGCAAGGGGCCCCTGTCTCCTAACCCTTGGGGTGCCATCTGAGCACACTGTGGTCCACAGCGCCACCTGGTGGCTGTCTTGTAGCATCGCCTGTGGTTAACCTGCAGCTGGGCCGGAACCTTCCCTACCTCCCTGTCCCTTCCTCTTCCCGCAGTGCAGTGGAGACCCCGGCTGCTTCTCACCAGCGTTGGGGTCATGTGGGCACAGGCCTGAGCCTGCTGAAGGGTAACGTTAAAGACGTCCACGGTGCACTCAGCGTCAGCCTGCTGCAACAGCTGATCCATAGCCAGGAAGGTGCCCAGCTGGGCCACACCCTTGCTGCAATTGACCTTGCGTTGAATGGGGTCCCTGGGGGACCTGGGAAGGTGGGAGCATCCCGAGACGTGGGGAAACCCAACCCAAGCCTAGAGACTGGGAAACGACACTGGACCCAGACATGGAAGGGTAAATAACCGAACAGCGCCTTATCCCTGAAAGGACAGAGGCAACGGGAGCTCTCACTACTGAAGCAAGGCACAGTGAAACCCGAGGGCCTGCTGGAGAGGCAGCAAGGGGTCTGGCACTCTCCCCCAGACCTCCGGCCACCAGCACCTGGAGTGGCTGAGCAGCGTGCCTGGCCTCTTCCTGTCCTGGGAGCAGCACTGGCCCACGGCCGCCAGGAAGGCCAGCAGGGTGGTGGCGGGCAGCTCACGCCCCGGCTCCCCGCACGGAAACTGCAGCCGCTGCACCTGCCTCTCCTTCCCGCTCTCCCCCTGGGGACAAAGTCACCGTGGGCACGGGCACTGGCGAGGGCCGAGAGGTGCCTCACGGGGCTTCTTCACACCGCCTGCCACCCCAACACCTACGTGTGTGACCCTGAAGAGGGTGCAGGGCCAGCCCGCTGTGCTGCTCTCAGCCACCCAGTGCACCGTCACCACGTCCATGACGACAGGCTGCGTCTCCGTGGGCCAGAACGCCTGGGACGGGACCAAGTGAGGGCTGCGTGGGCAGAGCCCCCACGCGCTGGGCACGGGCACACCTCGACGACCCCGTTCCTCCCACGCCCCGAGCTGGCCCTCCACCTTGTGTCCCTCACCTCTTCCCTGGTGTCAGGTGGGCACAGGGAAACCAGAACGTAGGCCCCATGCTCCCACACCAGCTCCCAGAGCTCCTCGGGCCCTGCAGGACCGGTCAGCACCACGTGGTCACGGCCAGACAACCCTCCCTGCAGAGCACAGAGCGTTGGCTTCGGGGGGCCTGGGATGTCACCTGCTCATCCCACAACTCCAGGCACTCCAAGCATCCTAGCTCTGGCCCAGGAAGCATGAATGGACAGAGAGGGCACAAGGGGACCATCTCACAGGGAAAAGCCAGGCTTCTAGCAGCTGGTCAGGGGGACTGTCCTCCTCCGGAGAAAACGGCTCTTGAGAATGGTCATCTGAGGGAGAGGGTAAGAGTGAGGCTGCCAGAGACCAGCACCCAGGTCGACCCTCACCCCAGCACAGGCACTCACAGGGCACCACGCTGTCCCGATCATAGCCAGGAGGAGGCGTCAGAGAGCCGTCCTGGTCCTTAATGGCCTGGAGCAGGAGCTGCGGGGAAAGCACCCCCTGAGCTTGGGGGGGCGTGGGGAAGGGCCTCCCCCCCCCCAGCCCGGCCTGAGGCATACCTCATACTCCTTCAAGAAGCCAGCATTGGCGTTGGCCGCTCTCTTGGCACAGGCCTGTGCAAAGTTCCTCACAGAGATGGGCTGGGACCTGGGGGTGGGGTGGGGAGGGGAGAAGGCGCTCCAAGTTCCCCAGGTCCCGTTCCCAGTCTTCTCACTGCGGGTGGATGGGGGTCTGCAGGTGGGTGGGAGGGTACAGAGAACCTGCACCCCCTCTCCCCAGCCAGCCAGGGCTCTCGGGACCTGCGACTTACTGAGGGGAGGCAGAGGGCCCTTCCAGAATCTTGTCCAGGAGGCAGCTGTGCAGGAAGATGTACTGGCTCTGTGGGGAGAGGGGGTCAGGCTGCTTCAGAAGGGCCGCGGGAAGGTTTCCAGGCCGCACCAGCCACACAGTGATGGGGCCAGAGCTGGGAGCCTCTGGGAGCTTCCGGTGCTGCCCTGCGATGTCAACGCTTGGGCGTGGGGGGCGGCCTACCCTTTCCCCGCTTTACAGAAAAGAGACAAAAGCCCAGCTAGGAGCCACACGTTAAGTCCCTCCCCAGGGCCTCGCCTGCCTGCCTGGTTCTCCGCCCGGGGCCCTCAGACCCAGAGGCCCCAACGCCTTCCCCCTGCAGTCCGCGAGCCCTCACCGGGGTCTGGATCATGAGCGGCCGGTGAAGCCGCAGCGCATACACAGCGTTGAACACGTCCACCGTCTGCTCGGCCTCCAGCTGCTGCAGCAGCCTCAACAGGGCCACAAAGGTGCCGGTGCGGCCCACGCCGGCACTGCAGGGACAACCCCGGGAAGCCGCGTGGGTGCGGGGCTGCCCGCGCCTGGAACCCCCCGCCCTGCTCCCCTCTCGGTGCCCACCTGCCTGCTCACCTGCAGTGCACCAGGACGGGCCCGGTGCCCTGGGTGGCCCGTGTCTGCTCCTGCACCAGCTTCACGAAGGCCAGCAGGGAGCCCGGGGCCTCAGGGGTACTGTGGTCAGGCCAGGTGGTGAACTGCAGCTGCTTCACCCTCCTCTGCTGTTGCTGGGCAACCTGGGGTGGGGGGGGGCAGGTTGCTTCTCCCCATCTTCCTCACTCCAGGGTCACTGGCTGAGCCCTGAACATTTTACCCAACCCCTGAGGGCAGAGGCTGTCTCCCTTGGGTCCTCCCGAGCCTCCTGGGTAGTCTCTGCCTGTGGAGGTTGTCCAGGTGCCGGGTGGAGGTGGTTCCCTCTTCTTTCCTTACCCATCTGGTGAGGCAGGTGGGGTGCAAGGGGTTTGGGGTGGGGCAGGGAGCCTTGGGCTGAGCACAGAGCAGAGCAGAAGCTACCACCTTTGACACACTGTGACCTCAAAACCTTTGGCCTGCCCTGTGCCTCTCCCCCGGACTCCCACTGCCCTCCCCGTCCACCGCCCTGGGCAGTGGTTTCTGCTTTCCGTCTTCAGAAGGAGGGAGGCTGAGGGACTCAGAGGCCAGGGGACGTGTCCGAGTCTCAGCTCCAGTGCCCCCAGCCGCCCCGGGGCCCTGGCACACACGTGCTTCAGCTGGAACTCCCGCTTGGTCCACTCTTCCTCAGGCTCCTCAACCAGGAGGTGGACAGTGATGTGGCCATAGGTGACAGGGCTGGGGTCAGCCGGCCAGTAATGCTCACACAGCACCTGGGCCAGAGGGTCAAAGCAGGGAGGGAGAGGTCAGCCCCTCGCCGCCAGCGCCAGCCCTCCTTCTGTGCTCTGTGACCCTGCCCTCAGCACCCCCCAGCTTCCAGCCCTCCTCCAAGGCCTCTCCCCTCTGGCAGGGTGCCTCACTCCTGGGCCTCTCACATCACCTCAGGACCTCAAGGCCGCTTCTGAGCTCCTGTCTGCTGCCACAGGAACAATCCTGCCCCAGAGGCCGGTGTCAAGCAGGACAGAGAGACACCCACAGCTTTGTGGGAAGAGCAGTGCGGCCTGTCTTTGTGTCCGCCACTTCCATGTAGACCGCACCCCTATCTTTCCCCTAAGCTCCCCTCCCCCAGCCTAGAAAAGCAGAGACAGTGAGAAACAGTAGAGGCCGGTGGAAACTGAGCCAATCTGGGAATTTGAGTTACTGGCCCCTCATCCTTCCTCCCCTTCCTCAAGGGCTCTGGAGACCCCACCCACCTCCTGATCTGTCTCCAGCAGGCCTGTCCACCCTCTCAAACCTAAAGGACCAGGGACCAGCCTCTGGGGGAAGGGGGGCGCCACCTAGTGGCCACTCGGGAAGTGCAGGGCGCCTCACCCTGCCGTTCTCCATGCCCACGGTCAGCATGATGATGATGTGGACCTGCTGCTCCCACACCAGCCGCCAGAAGTCCTCCAGAGTCTTCTTGAGAGGCCCCTGGGTGGCAATGAATTCCTGAGGGTGGGTGTAACCCTGTGGGGGCAGAGAACAAGCACATGATAACAGATGAGGCTTCAGCCCGGGGGACCCTTGGACACAGGGCAGTGAACAACCCCAGGTGTGACCCCCCAGGGACTGTGTATGTGCAGGTGCAAACGCATGAACACCCTGGGCACCCCAAGAACTCAAACCCAGAGGGGCGACTTCAGAGAGGCCACCCCAGCCCCCAAGAGGAGCAAGAAAAAGTGACGTCAAAATAACAGGTCTCTCTCTCTCCCTACAACAATCTCCCCACAGGTTCAGCTTTGGAATACCAAAGTGCGCTTCTCCCAGGCTCAAAACCTTCCCCAGCCCCCTGCTGAGCACCAAATAAATCCACAGCTTTCAACCGAACAACCAGGTCCTTCAAAGCCCCTGTCCCTCTCCCCATCTCATCTCACCACCTGACACACACACACACACACACACACACACACCTGCACCTTTCTGCTGCCTCTCCGTTTTAGCCAGAATGTCCTCAGCACTTAGCAAGTTCCTGCTATTCCTTCAGGAGAGCAAACGTCCCTCCTCTGGAACTTTCTTGACTCTTCGGAGGGGCCAGTCTTGCCTTTTCCATGAGCACTGTGCTCAGTCCTTTATTGTGACATTTGTCACGTAGCATGGGACATCACACACACACACACACACACACACACACACTGCCTGCTTCCTCAAGGCTGTAAAACTCAGCTAGCTCTGCTCCCCTGGGCCCAGCACAGTGCCTGGCACACAGTAGACCCTTAGTAAACACCTGCTGGCTTGACCTAAAGAAACACAAGTTAGTGATCCTCGTGGGTGACCAATATGGCCAGGGCAGGACAGCGCTCCTGCAAGCCAGCTGGCCTCCCGAGCAGACACCCCCGGCAGCCCCCCCAGTGGCGCTTACTGGGATGAAGTTGGCGTTGATGTAGTCAGAATGGGGCTCTCCATCCAGCTGGGTCAGCCTGACCCGGGAGTGGTCGTCTGCAGAAGGTGCAGCCACGCATTCAGTGCCTGCCACACACAGGCCTCCTCTCCCAGGCCGAGCCGTGCCCGTTGTCCATGCCATGCTTACTGTCCACCACCCACGCTAACTGCCCACTGCTGGTGTCCAGCGCTCAGCTCCCATCACTCACAGGGCAGCACGTGCGGGTAACGGTTCTTGCTGGCATTGGCAGGGTGCTCGGCTTCCAGTCTGGGCTGCTCCCTGCCCACCTCCTTCAGCTCCTGCAGAGATCGGGCATGTGTTGGTTGCAGAAGCAGAACTGGCCCCACCTCAGAAGAGGCTGTGTGTGTGTGGCGGAAGGGACGCACAGCTGGGAGCACCTTCAGGGTAGGTCTAGCCCCCCTGCCCCCAGCGAGCCCTTGCTCCTCTCCTCTGAGCACTGGAAGCCAGTGTGGGCCTACCTCAAACTCCTGAAAGAAAGCCTGGTGGGCATGTGCACTCTTGGCCTCGTAGCTCTGCCGGAAGCTGTGAATCGGGATTGGCCGGTGGGTCCGCCTGGTGGGAGACCGGGGAGGGGTAGGCCCAGGGCCCTGGATGCAGAGTCCTGCCCTGTGCCCAGGTGGGCAGTGGGAACTGAGTAGCGGCTGTCCAGCCCAACGCCTGCCCATTGTGGAGCAGCCCTGGGCTCCCCTGAAATAGAGCTGGCACAACCGGGCAGCAGCTTTGTCCATGCTGCCAAGCTCCCACACAGAATGGTGGACAAGGCACGGGGTGGGGGCAGTTGGGGGCATCAATGGCGCACACATGGGTCTTGTACGCCTCTTGGGGGCATTTCTGTGCACAGCTACTGCTCAGTTGTGTCCCCGTCTGCAAGACAGGGAGTCAAGTAGCTCTACCTGTAGGCAAGTAGGGATACAGGTAAAATTTCAGCAAGAGAAAGAAACAAGAAAGAGCTTTGTCTCGGACTGTCCAAGCGGTTAGTCAAAGGGAAGATAAGAAATTAAGTAGGTGATGTGGAGGAGAAGGAGGCGGACGAGGAAGCGAAGGAAGAGCAAAAGCAGAAAGAAGGGAGAAGAAGAGAAAGTGGAGGGAAATGTCAAGGAGGCAAAAGAGGAAGAGGAAGTGGGAGAGGAGTTGGGCCCCAGGAGCTGGAGAGAGGCCTGGTGAGTTGTGATACAAGAGTGAAGTGGCTGGGCGGGAGACCCCACTGGCGGAGGCTGCAGTCCCAGGGCGCAGGTGAAGTGGAAAATGTCTCAGGTTGAGTTGAGGCAAAGCCCCAGTGCGGACTGAAAGCTCCAGGGAGCGACTGACTGATGCAGGTCTCAAGGCCATACACCTGACTTACACCCACATAACCACTTGGAAACCACCTGCTTGTTGCTGGGTGCAAAATGTACTTAAACCATAACTGGCCTGCCATAACGCAGATAGCCAGGGGGAGCTAGAATGGGCAGCATGGCCCATCAAGAGGGGAAAGGGCCCTTACCGAGGGCTGTAGGCCATCAACTCTTGGGAAAATCGGTTCTTCTCTGCCCTGGAGGATGAAGAGGCTTGTGGGAGGCAGCCCAGGGGCCAGTCTCTTGGGCCATCTCCTCCCTGGCCGTGCTCTTCCTTGTCTTCCCTCACTCACCTTTGTCCCTTCACTCGCCTCCAGCACAACAGACCCAGCACAGCACAGATGGTGAGCACAGAGCCCGCCACAATGCCCACTGCCCCAGGGAGGGACACTGCTGCCGGGGAGACACTGGCCCGGGGCTCTAGAGAGGACAAGGGTAAGGCGGACATGCAATCAGTTACACTCCTACAGACCCACCGCCACCCCCAGGCCCGCCACAGATGCCCAAGCCTCCTGTGAGGCTGCCAGGGGCCTGCTCTGGAGGGGAACTGAGAATGTCCAGCGAGACCCGGCCCCCGCCCCAGCTCCTAAGCATGCCCCAAAGACCCTCCTCTTCCTTGACACACGCGAAGGAGAAAGAGGTAGAAGCCTGGCTTCCTGGACCTTCTAGAATGTCTGTGTCCAATCTGGAGGCCACCAACTCATGTAGCTATTGAGCACTTGAAATGTAGCTGCTCCAAATTAGGATGGACTCTGAGCATAAATTACGCCCAGGATGTCAAAGACTTAGTAAGAGCAGAAAGAAAGCAAAATAGCGCATTAATCTTTTATAAAAATTGGGCCTGTGTTGGTATGATACGTTGGTGGAAATAAAATGGTTACTAAAATTAAGGTCACCTGCTTCTTTTTACCCTTTTAGCACAGTTACCAGAAGGCTTGCCATGGTATGTGTGTTTCCATGTGTGGTTGGCCTGACCATCAGCCAGAACTGCAAGGGCCTGAGAGGGCCTGAGAGCAGCAGGGCCCAGAGGGGCAATATGGTCGTGAGCAGCCACAAGCCACTTCACTGGCCTCTGCCTCTGCTGTCCCCCCCTCTCACCCCTCTCCAGGCCCAGTGTGGTAGCAGGGGGACTTTCATTGCTGATAGTGGTCCCAAATGGGCCATGTTCTCCCTGGGACCTAAGCTGGGACCCTCTGCTGCTGGTTGGGGATGAGCCTTGTAAAGGGGGAGGTGGTCCCACCACTCATCCCCTCCCCCAACACCCAGCTGGAACCCCAGCCAGGTACTGCCCCTACCTGAGAAGGCAGAGAAGGAAATAATGGTCTCGGGAGAATTGTATCTGGTAAAAGCCACGACACTGAACCTGGGGCAGAGAAACAGGACTGTATGTTGGAAAGAGGCAGCCAAGAAGGCAAAGCTCCTGCCAGGAAATGAAGTCATGAGCCACAGACTCTCAAATAGTGAGAGCCCCTCACCGTCTATCACGCTACCTAAACTCTTAGAACAAGCACCGCTCTCTTCTCTTCCACCCCTTGCCCTATTAAAGAGCAAGAAGAAGCCATTGAAAAAGTACCTGGATATCTTTGGCATTGCCCTGGCAAGGTGAAAAAAATCCATTTTCCTTCCCTTCCAAGTAACAGAGGGTGTTCCCCTTTTTGCCTTGCCCACCAGGAAGCTCAGTCAGAATCATACCATTGACCCTTAGCAGCCTTCTCTTTCTGAGTCAATCCAGGACTTGTTTAAAAAATGTGTAAGCAGCCCATAGGTGAAACTCACAGTGGCTCCCCCTCCCTTCAGCCTTAGCCCTCACCGATACTGAAAACCTGGCTTGAGTCGTCCATTACATATCTCCTGGGTCTGGCCACAGTTCTCTGTACCCATAGGCACCATCCAGGAACCCGGCACAGCCCAGGGCCCCGGGTAGAAGGGGTTGGGAAGCAGGACGGCCAGGTAGGAGTCATGTCCTCTGTAGTAGTGGTCAAACCACGTGTTGTTGATGGCTTCCTGGGGAGGCCTGGACACTGGGAAAGGAGGGAGGAAGGACAGAACAGTGTCAGCCGTGGGGATGAAGCCTCTTTCCCTGCCACAGAACGGCCACCCCATTTCTCCAGCTTGCTCCCACTAGTCAGAATCCAACATGAGCTCCACCTTCCAGAATGTTCTGGGTTCTTCTTCCTGACCCAAACTCATGCCAGCCTCAGAGTTTCCTCTTACCAGCCTCAGTGCCTGGTAACCTAGGCAATAGCCATCCCCTCCCAGGCCCGGGACTCACATGACATGTTGGTGGTGGCCAGGACACCGTACCACTGGATCTTCCCATCGTCCTCGCCAAACATGCCCCGAGTGATCATCACTCCCATCCCCGTCTCAGGCTCCAGCTGCGGGGCTTCCCCTAACTCTGGGGGGTGCCAGGCTGGAGGTGGAGAGGGGTGGGGTAAGGTCCTATCAAGGTGCCCAACAGCCAGTCCCAGGGATGGTCTCTCATGGCACCTGCCAACACGTGGCTGGAGGCTATAGCCAAAAAATCTGGAAGATTCCTGGATCGAGCCCAGAGCACATACAAGGCTCTAAAACATTCATCAGACAGCTATGGCATCTGGACCAGGATTGGAAGAGGGCTGGGGAGCAGGGCGTGTCCTTGGCAGTGAGGCCAGGGAGGTGAGATGGCTCTGGGTCCAGTGGAAGAAGACAAGAGGGAGCAGGGGGCGCTGAAGGGGAGCCTCTCCTGACCCACCCACTGTTCCCCTCAGCAGTGTATTTCATCTATCTGCCTGTTCTGCTCCCCACTCTGTCTCTGGGGAACCCTCTTACTCCCTGCACGCCGCTCCATACCTCCCTGCACCCCACTCCATACTGGAGTACCCCTCATGTACCCCAGTTCTTGTATGCATAAATAAATAAATAAATCTTTAAAACATTAATAGAGGACACCTGGACACAGACAAGCACGTCAGGGAGACATGTGAAACAGAAGACGACGCCCAGGGTCAAGCCCAGGGGACACCTTCCCCCAAGGCCTGCAGAGGCCGTGGCGATGCCCACCCTCTGCAGAAGTGGCGCACACCAAGGTGACCGCCCGACTCCACAGGCCGTTCCTGCCCAGCACCGTGAGGCTGAGGCGGTAGGAGGTGGCAGGTGCCAGGCGCGGCAGCAGGAGCGCAGCCTTGGACGTGTTGGCCTGGAAGATGAGGTGAGCGTGTCCCCCCGCCGCCAGCTGCTCCGCCACCACCAGACAGGTGCCCACGTCCCCCACAGGCATCGTCCAGTTCAGGACCAGGTGAGTGGCCTCAGGCAGGCACTGCACGTCCTCCACGGGGCCAGGCTCTGTGAGAATCAAAGGCTCTGATTTGTGTGGGCGTCAGGGTGCCCCAAGAGGAGGGAGCTGGCGTCAGGTGTTCTCAACTGGCAAGCACAAAGGGCCAGACGTTTATGTCCCTGGAAGAAGGTGCTGGCCCCAGGGAGAAGCAATGTCTTTGAACATCATGGCCCACTGGGCGACACATCCCCCCAGGGCAAGGATGGGCCGCACCCATCCGGAGGCACAGGTGGCTCAGAAGAGAGTGGGTGGTGCTCTGCCCTGCCTCCTGCCCCTGCAGAAGCCAACATACCAACGGGCAGCACCACGGGGTGAGTGGACGCTTGCAGCGGCCCCGCTTGGCACAGCACAGACAGGGAGAGGTTGCGTCCAGGGGTGAGGTTCCTCAGGAGGAGGTGGGCTTGGCCGAGCGCCAGGGGCTGCTCCCTGGAGGGGTGTCCAGCCTCTGACAGTCGCGCGTGGCACACCCCCTGCCCCAAGGGGCCGCTGGCCCACACCAGGCTGACCACCACACTGCCGGCTTGCATGGACACCAGCAGCTCACTGGGCGTGAGCGGGGCTGTAGAGGGGAGGGGCAGGTGAGCTCAGGGGCACTGTGCACCCTGCCAAGGGTTCACTGGCTCCACGTGGTGTGGACGTGGAGAAATGAGATAAAAGGGGGGTGCTATGTGCCACTGAGGGAAGAACCCAGGGACCTCGAGGCCACCCTGCCTGCCCCTCGTCCCCTCTCGCCTTCCCCATCTCCACTCACAGGTCCAGCCGGAGGCGCTGACCCCCGCAGCATGGAGGGGCCCCGCCCGGGAGACGATCTCCACCTCATACTCAGTGCCGGGAGTCAGAGCTGAGAAGCCCATGCTGTCCACCTCGGCTCCCACCACATTGGTGCCTCTCGGGACCCCCGCCTGGTACAGGGTCACCTCGTAGCCATCCCGGCCCCCTGGAGCATGGGCCCAGGATGCCTGGAGCTGGGTGGGGCCTTCACTGGTCACGTTTATCAGAGGAGGGGCGAGGGGGGCTGCAGAGAGAGCAAGATGGGGGAGGGGAAGATAGGAGGTGTTTTGGGCTGAGCTATATCCCCCCCCAAATGCTATGCTGAAGTTTTCATCCCCTGTGCCTAAGAAAGGAATTGGACTGGATATAGGTAATTAAGGTAAAATGAGGTCACTTGGGTGGGGCCTTCCAAGAAGCCATGACCATGCAATGGGGAATGGGCCTTCTCTTTAATAAATGATGCTGGGGACGTTGGACAGCCACACAGAAGAGAACGAAATTGTGTCACTCACAAATGGGTTAAAGATTTAGATATGAGATCGACAGCAGTAAAACACAGAAAACACTGATGATATGTTCTACAAGTCAGTGATAAAGGTTGTTTTTGGTAACCTGACCCCTACACAAGGGAACTAACACAAAAATAAACAAGTAGGGCTATCTTGAGTTAAAGAGCTTTCAGACAGTGAAAGGAGTTACAAGACAATTGGAAGGACACCCTACAGAACGGGAGAGAACATTCACACAATTAGGAATTGTGATTTGGGATTACTATCTGATCTATAAAAAACTCCCGTAAGTTAACAATTAAAAAAAACTAAAAGCCCAGTTAGCAAATGGACAGGTTTGAACAGACCATTCACAAAAGAAGACATCAAGAAAGCCAACAAGCATGGGAAAAGATTCATTATTTCTGCCAAAAGAGAGATGCGGTTTAAAGGCACATGAGATGCCACCTCACCCCCTGAGGATGGCCCATGCTGGTGGCAACAGGAGCCTGTGTGCCTGTTAGTGGGGGGCAATCGGATTAAGCTAAAAATGGAAATACCCTACAATGCAGCAATCCCACCCTTGTGCAGCCCAAAGAATACAAAGCCATCAACATAAAAATTTTTGTTTCTAGCAGCGTTCTGTACAAGAGCTGGGGGTGTGGAAGCAGCTGGATGTCCATCAATGTGGAGGTGTAAAATACTTCCAAAAACCAGTGGACATCAGCAAATGTCCTGAGGACTCCATGGTTAAGAGCGAAGGGCTGGGAGGGGGTACAGAGGGAGCTCAAGGATGGAGGTGGGGAAAATTAGAGCTGACTTTTAAGTATAAAAATAGGGCTCATCCTCTCGGCGCAACCGCTAAAGCGCAGCACTATGAAGCTCTCCACAGCCGCTGCAGCACGAGTTCAATCCCCGGCCAGGGAGCTGACCCACAGGGTGCAGCAGACCTCTTCTGCCCCGCCCCCCCCAGCAGTGTATCTCCATCAATCTGCCTGTTCTGTTCCCCACTCTGTCTCTGGGGAGTCCTCTTACCCCCTGCACCCCACTCCATACTTCTGGCATGTACCCCAGCTCTTGTATGCATAAATAAATAAATATTTTTAAATAAATAAATGGACGAGCACTGAGCTGCTGCTGTTGTCAGTATTAAGGACTTGCAGCCCGGGGTGGGGGCGAGGGGATAGAAGCCAGGGCCAGGTTTGGTCCCCACGCGCCCCCCTCCTCCCTGGTGGCCATGAAGGAACATGGAGAATGCACACCTGTGGCCGCTGTGCCAGAGCAAAATCCTGGGTTCTGCCTGCCTCTCAGGACACTGCAACTGAAGGGGCTGCAGCCCCAGGGGACTCCCCACCAGGAGGTGGGGTCTCCGGAGCCTTGGGACTGGGGAGCAGCCAGAGGCTGGAGCGCCCCTGTCAGTCAGGGTTGGGGGGGCGGGGCCCTGCGGAGGGCACTCACGTGTCCAGCCGGTGGCGTTGACGCTGCGGCTCTCATCCGCCTCTCGCAGCGTGCACAGCAGTACCAGAAACTCGGTGCCTGGGGTCAGCTGGGTCCAGGAGAAGTTCTGAGCCTCTGCAGTCAGAGTGGCCTCTTTTTCCAGAGTCAGGGGCCTGAGATGATAGAGCCGAAGGCGGAAGCCATCCCTGCCCCCTGGTGGGGGGCTCCAGGAAGCCCTCAGGACCGGGGTGTGGGGTACAGGGCCCAGCCTCAAGTTGGTTGGAGGGGCAGGAACTGCAAAAACAAACAAGAATCAGATCAGGAGTGACCTAGTCCCGCCTCTCCGGCCCCTCTCCAAACTTCTCCCCAGGAGCGCCAGACTTGGCCAGCCTCAAGTACAGTCCGAGGGGCCCCACGCCCACTCTCTTTTCCTTCGCAGAGAAACCTCTGCAATGGCCAGGGCCTCTGACCAGATGTGCACTCCTCCCTGCTTCCCTAACGGGCAGCTTCTTGAGGGCACAGTGTCTGGCTCAAATGTTGGCCCCCCCACTAGGCCCCAGCGGCTCTCCTGCACCCCCAGCTCACATTCAGTTCCCACAAATGCTCATGCCCCCCTCAGAGGATCACAGTGCACCTGGCCGCCTGATCAAGCCACCCCTAACCCCCCCCCACACTCCCCACATCCTACCTCCCCACTGCCCCCCCCTGGGTCCTACTCAGACCCAGGAGTTTATCAACTCACTTTCCTCTGGGAACCTTTTTCTGATTCCCCTTTCATGGGCCCTAAAGGATTTGATTGAACCCCATATGATAGTCATTGATTTCATCTAAGAATGCAATTCCACGCGGTGCAGAATACATGGTATGTATCCCTACCAACGCATTTACGTTTCCTCTGATAGACTACAGAACATAATGTGCATTCGTATTAGATTGTTATCATATTATATGTATGTATGTGTCTACATGTATTTTAGCATGCACATCTTCCTCCACTTCCGATGGGATGATGTCTCCACAATCTCACTGCAAATTGAAGATGTCGGTCAAAAGGCACCGCCACACCTCATCTGTCAATCACTCCTTGGCCCCGCCTACCCTCTGAGCTCCTTGGCTCAGAGCTCACTCAGGCCTAGGGCTGGGCACGGTTTTCAGGTGCAAGCCTGTCTCACAGTCAAGCGCTGACGTCTCTTGTAAGTCAGACTGACAGCGAGTCTAGGTTCTTTCTGGTTGTTTCCCTCATGATCGCCGGTGGGGCTGGGTCAGCATCAGGAGGGCATAGCATTGCTGCCCGAGAAGATTAAAAAGCAACATTTGAAATAATTTCTTCTGAAAGTAAATCACTTTCTCACCATGAGAAAGACAAAAACTTGTGAAAAATCAAAAATCATCCTGAGTCAGGGTCAGTTCACACGGATATCCTTTCCCAGGAATTCTTGTTCGCAATTTTTTTAAAAAGATTTATTTATTTATGGGGTACAGGCCAGAGGTGTGGGGGGTGAGAGGCTTCACCAGAGACAGAGTGGGGAGAAGAACAGGCAGATGGACGAAGCACACTGCTGAGGGGAGCAGCGGCCGGGTCAGGAGGGGTCTGCTGCGCCATGTGGGTCACCTCCAAGACCGGGGATCAAACTCGCACTGAAGTGGCTGCCTCTAGCTTGCAGTGCCGCATCCTAACCCATTGTACCACCAGGGAGGGCCCTTGCTCACAATTTTTAACCGGCACACCCAGCCTTATGCGGGAAAATGGGGAGGCTTCCTTGAACTTTGTCCAAGGGACGGATCACCAGCCAGATGCTGGGAGATGGAAAATGCTTGCAAACAGAGCCTCTTGCCCACCTCGGACACTGCCATGACTTCACTGAGAACGCGGCACGCAGACAGACAGACAGAGACAGACAGAGAAGGAAGCTGCCCTCCCGAGGCTGCAGCCTAGAACTCACGGGTGCAGGCGCGGGCACTCTGGATGCTGGAGCTGAGGTTCCCTGCCCAGGTCCACACGGACACGGTGTAGCAGGATCCCGGCACCAGACCTCTCAGCGTCAGGCTGGAATTGTCCGGGCCCAAGTCTACGAGACCGCCTGGTGACATCTGGCTGTCCTCCCGGTGCCAGGTGACTCTGTAGCCTTCCCGCTGTCCTGGTGCTGAGGCCCAGCCAATGGCCAGCTCAGAGGGGCTGTCCCTGCCCCTGATCTCCAGGATCTGTGGAGGCAGGGGCCCTAAAGAGAGTGGCAGTTTGGTAAGGCACCACACACTGGGGCACCCCTTCCCAGCTGTCTGAGGCTTCACCCCCAGGCTTCCGTCCCCAAGGCCAAGACTCCCAGCCCCGGCTCAGGAGACACAGCAGCTGGCTTTCGTTGTGCAGCCTGGGATGCTGGGTTGGGGCTTCCTAGAGCAGACAAGGTGCCCCTGGTAGCAGGCCTGGACACCGGCCCACAGAAAGTGACCTGGGTGGCCCCAGTGCCAGAGAGGCACCCACCTTCCGGGCTCCCTGGTGCCACCCACCTGCAGCTGCCTTGTCTGGGCTGTGTGGAATCTGGGCAGCAGGCAGCCCCAGGGAGTGAGACTCCATCTGCCTGTCAGTGCAGGCGCTGGGGTCAGCCCCTCCCTCTTCCCCACCATGACAGACTCACCATCCAGCCAGGCACTGGCCTGGGCCCAGGCATCATAGGGTCCAGCCCAAACCATCAGCTCCAGAGCATAGTCTCCTGCAGGCAGGGGCCCTGGGAACGTGGCGTTCAGGGCCCCAGGGCCCAGAGTGGTGTTTTTCTCCACAGGGCCAGTGAGCCTTAGCAAGTAGCCATCGCGGGCTCCAGGCCCTGCTTTCCAGCTGGCCCAGAGCTCTGGGGGCTGGGGCGTGAGCTCCAGGTCCAGGGGGGCAGAGGGATCTGCAGGGAAAAGGAGCAAGTGCAGTAAGTGCAGAAATCTCACGGCAGCGCCCAGGAAAGCCTCTCTGGGCCAAAGCTTCCTATGCTCACAGGGTCGCATCTCATCCAGACACGAGCGGCCCCTTCACTCCGTTCCAGATGCATCCTGAGCTCTGCCGTGGGCAACAACCACCCAGTGGGCAGGTGTCCAAGCAGCACAAGAGCTCACTCACTGCTCAGCTCCGCTGCTGTGCACGGCCATGCAGCGCGGCCAGTGCCGTCTCTCATTAGGGATCCAGAAACTGAAGCCCAGAGAAGGCAAGAATTTGGCCAGAGGCCCACGATCAGTAAGTAGCGGCCGCGAGATTCAGGACCCTGCAGTCTGGCTGCTCTGCTCTGAACCACCCCAGGACAGCTCTCAAAGGGGCTCTGTGGGCCTCCTGCCCCTGCAGCTCAGCTTGGCCTTCTCAAGTGTGTGATCTGAGAGCTTTCTCTCTAAACCTCAGCTCCCAGAGGCCCTCCCAGGGGCCCTCCCTGGTGGCGCAGTGGGTGAAAGCACAGCACTATGAAGCTAGCCACTGCTTCAACACCAGCTTGCTCCCCGCCTGCCCCGGAGGTGACCACATGGCCTGGCAGACCTCTCCTGACCCGCCCGCTGCTCCCCTCAGCAGTGTACTTCGTCAGTCGGCCTGTTCTGCGCCCCACTCTGTCTCTGGTGAAGCCTCTCGCCACCCCTGAGCCTCTGGCCTGTACCCCAGTTCTGTATGCATAAATAAATGAATGTTAAAAAAATCTTTAAAAAACAACCTCAGCCCCCACTACCATAAAGTGGGGATCCTGTGGGGTGCTGTCAAGCAGGGTGTCTTGAGGACTAAGATGCTAGCACAGAGCCAGGCCCAGCAGGGCTGGGTGATGACTGTCACCACCAGCCTCATCTTCCCAGTGGGCAGCTACCACGGTCAACAGGAGGGTGTTCCTGCAGGATTCCAAAGGAAGCCCCCACCAGTGCCAGACCCCTGTGTCCCCTTCACCCCCAGGCACTCACAGGTCCACTCGGTGGCGTTGGGTCCCACTGTCCGGTGGGGCCCAGCCACAGCACTGAGGGTCAGTTCATAGGGGGTGCCAGGAGAGAGCTGAAGGAAGGTATGGTTGGAGACCCCCCGTCTGACTACTGCTGTCAGGTTGGCACCCCCCAGGAGGTCTGTGAGCAGCAGATGCAGCCAGGCGGCACCCTCAGAACTGTTCCAGGAGGCTCGCAGGGCACTGGTGCCGAGGGTCCGTAGCTCCAGTCGCTCTGGAGACTTAGGAGCTAGAGCAGGGATGGGGAGAACAGCGCCAGGCTTAGGAAGCACCCGGACCAGGGTCCTGGCACCGACACTGGCAGCAGGGAGTCCAGAGCCAAGTGACATCAAGACACGCCGCAAAAGAGGCTCCAAACTGTCCCCCCCAGTCCCAGCCGGCAGCCCCCAGGGCTCTGCCCAGCGCCCGCCTTACCTGTCCACTGGTGGGTGCTGGTCTTCGCTTGCAGCTGGCCAGCCCAGGTGGTAACCTCTAAACCATACTCGCTACCTGGTAAGAGGTCACTAAAGTTGTAAGCCAAGGTGCCTGGGGGCACGGAGACATTATGTGCCAGTGTCTGGGATTCCAGGTGGTAGAGGTGAAGTTGGTAGCCATCCTGTTCCCCAGGGGCAGCACCCCAGGAGGCCTCCAGGCTGGATGGGCTCCCCGGGGGGCCGAGGAGCTGCAGGTCACAGACCGTCGATGGGGCTGTGTCGGGCAGAGGAAAGTACCTCACTGAGAGCTGAAAGGGCATCACTTCCTGCTGCTAGGACTTCATGCCTGAGCAGGCACGGGCCTCAGAGAAGCTGCCCCTTGGCACAGACCCCAACCAACATCTGCCCCCCACCACCACCACCAGCAGCAGCATGCAGGCCACACACCAGTGCGGGCCGTGAGGACAGTGGTGGCGTTCTGCCCACAGGGCCACAGGGCAGTCACTTCCAGCAGATACCGACTTCCTGGCACCAGGTCCCGGAACTCAAAGCTGGAGGCGTTGGTGTGGGCCTGGCGCTGCTGCCCCTGGGGAGAGCCCAGGGGGCTCAGCTGCGTGAGGCGGAGGGTGAACCCCAACCCGCCTGGCTCTGGGGCTGACCAGCTCACAGCCAGCCCAGTTGGCCTCCCCTGGCTGCTGACGTTCACGCTCACAGGTGGCCCTGGGGAAATGGGGGTGCCTTCAGATCTCCCAACACCTCTTCCACCCCAAAGAAGGAAGGAAGGCAAGCCGGGGACAGAGCAGAGGCCACATCTGGCATGAAGAAATTAGCCCTGCACCCCACTCCCCAGGCCTCCCAAGCCCTCTGAAGCCACACACCTCCACTGTCCAGGTCCGGGCTCCCTGCCACCGACTGGCACTCGTCTTCCTGTCGGGGGAGGGGAGAAGGGAGGAGATGGACAGAAGCCTCCAGGGTCCAGACCTCTGTGAAAGCCAGTGGGGACAGATCCCAGAGCCCAGAGAAGCTCTGCTTCTGTCTGACACACCCCCACAGGACCAGAGGCCATCGCCCCAGGGCACCCAAGGTGGGGAGGCAGCCCCAGGCAGACGGAGCTGCTCTCTGTCCTCCCTGCTGGTGGGTGGGAAGGAGCAGCCTCTGTTCTCGCCTAATGCAGACCAGCTGTGGGGCCCACAGAGAGGTGGGAGGCCTGGACAGGCCTTGGAATTGAGGGAGTTGGGGGACCCCCACTTGCCTCCCATGCCCACCTTACCTTGGCCAAAAAGCCCTGGAGCCAGAGGAGGGCAAAGAGGATTGGGGTCCTCATGCCGAAGTCTGCAAAAGAAAGTTGGGAGGCAGCAGAGGAGGAGCCTGCCCCCCCCAACCCCCCAAACCCTCCCCTTGCCCAGCTGGCTGGCTGGCTGGCTGGCAGGCCGGCAGGCCAGGCAGGAAGGCAGAGTTTCAGGCAGACAGCAGGCGGCCAAGAGCAGAGCAGGGGCTGCCTCTCAACCCCAGAGTCTGACCCCCACTCGGCTCAAGCCCTGGCGAGGCTCTGGGAGGGGACAGAGGTGGGGCCTGGCCTGGGGCCCAGAGGTGGAAGGGGATTGCAACTCTCAGACTGTAGACAAGCCTACACCCCGCTCTGCTCCCCCACCTCCACCCCACTCCCAGCCCTTGGCTTTCCAGGGAAAAGAATGTCCTGTGCTCTTGGGGAAGACCAAGAGGAGACATGTTTTGGGTGAGGGTAGTGTGCCCGTGTGGTACCATGCCCTTCTGGACAGACCCTGTCCTAAAGCAGGCAGTTTGCACCCAGAAGCTGACCCTTGGGGTGCTCCTGGCTCCAGATCCTCATTGCCCACATGAGAAGTTGAAGTCCAGATGGGGGAGGAGCCACCCAAGGCCCCGTGGGACGTGAGGAGAGGCGTGGGCTTGGACGTGGGACTCCGGCCGCACCTAGCGGAGCTGTACTGAGCAGAGCTGGCAAGTCCTGCCCTGAAGGTCCCTGGGGTGGGGGGTGGGGGGTCCTCAGCTGAGAACCCCCTGAGGGAGTATTTCAGTCTCCAAGTACTTCCTTCCCTTCCTACCTCCTTTTCCTAGGTCAGGGGTGCCGCCCTGGTAACGATGCCCCTCCCAACCACCCCTCCCCCAGGCCATTTGAGGCCCAGCCTGGAAGACATTGGTCTTAAGGCCTCACTTCACACCAGGCTGGAGTCAGCTTCTTGCCTTTAACATCTAAGCGCCCCCTTCCCAGAATGTGCCCCAACCCCCATTCCCAAGACAAGAGGGGAGGGACAGAGGAGAAATGGCTCTGAGCCCGGGGAGAGCAGCCCAGACTCAGACACCAACTCAGCAAGTGGGGAGGAGGAAGGTGCAGCAAACGGCAGGTAGAGGGCCTCTGAGCTGGGACTGCTTGGTGTGTGGGGGGGACCCCCTCTGGGGCCATCCAGGCAGGGAGGGCAGGTCTGCAGCAGGCCAGCTCAGCCTGGCTCCCAACTCTGGCCAGAGCCAGGGGTGCTGCCCCTCCCCCACTCCACCCAGGCCCAACCTCAGAGCCGCCCACCGGCCTCTGGACCTGGGCCTGGAAACTCGCAGACTCACCAGATTTTCCAGGCTGTGTGTGTGCATGTGTGTGAGAGCAAGGAGGTATGTTGCATGGTGCTCGGTTAAAAGAGGGAGCAACTGGGGAAACTGATGTAAAAAGCCTAGGGAAAGGTGAAGAAAACATCATCCCCAGGGCCCCCAGCCCAGCTCACTGGGGTACTGGGGTACCTCACTTTGCTCCTGCCAGCAGACTTGATCATCAACGGCAAAGCGGGCAAGCTGGGCCGAAGCATCCTATCCAGAATGGAAATAGAGGACACAAGGCTGGTTGTGATTTTGTGGGGGTGGGGGGAAGCACCTCAGCCCCTTCCTGAGAGTCCCTGCCAAAGAGGAGCCTGTGGCGGACAGCAGAGACATGGCCTGCGACAGAGCCTGGGACAGCCCTGGGGACATCGCACAGGGTACAGAAAGGCAGCAACAGGGAAACAACATACTCTCCATTCAGAAAAAAAAAAGAAAAAAGATACCACAAGAGCTGTTTCTCCACCCTGGCAACCACTCCCCCAGAGGAACCCACATCCTCTCCCTAGAGAGCCCCTGGGGTCCTCCCAAGGCCTCAAGGCACCTTACCTATTCTTTCAGCAGAGTCAGCGGGGGGCGGAGGAGGGCGGGCGACTGGTCCAGGCGTCCAGCTCCCAGCGTGCCCAGTGTGGTCACTCCCCAGCTGTCCCAGCTCCCTTCCGGCCCCGCCCCTGCAGCCTTCCCACGCCCGAAGCCAGGCCTTGGGCAGCCCCCACGCTGGGGGAAGGTAATCACTAGGCCCAGGCGCGGCGGGGTGGCCTCCCACTCTTCCCAACTCCCGGGGAGGTCAGCAGAGAGGCCTAGCCCCCTGCCCGGGCGGTAGGAAGACACAGGGGCAGAGGCAGCGGACTGGCCGAGTGGCCTGGACGCACGAGGGACCCAGGGTGGCCGTGAGCGTGCTCATCCTATCTGGACAGTCGTGTGCACAGGGGCATCTGTGAACACAGGGGGTGTCCAGGGGGATGTCCAGGGGTGACAGCGGTAAGAGGACTATGCTGTGGGCAGAGGCAGGCTTGGGAGGAAAACGGTGTCTCATCGGCCTGAACTCCTCTCGGGGCCCTGAATTCCAGCAACCTGTCAAAGATCCGCACTCTGACTGACAGGCTTGCCCCTGGGCACCCCCGCGCTCCCCATGCTCCCCCTCCACCCCGCGCCTGACTTTCTGGAAGCACTATCCTCTCAGCCAGGGCTTCGAGGACCAGGGGAAAGTCCCCTTCACCAGCAGGCACTTAAAAGGTGCCAGGGAAACTGGGGCGGCAGGGGGATGGGCACCTGGGATGGCCGGCACAGAAGTGGAGCCCAGAACATACCTGGGGATGTCCTTCCACCCTCAGCCACCCCACACACACACCCACACACACACCCCTCCCCAGCACTCCTCTGCCCCACTCACGGCGGGTCTCCTCGAGTCTCCTGCCTCCCGGATGAGGCTTCCTGGATCCCAGCGCTCAGTGTCTCTCTCCCCCACACGCTCAGGCACAAGCCAGGGCCTGTTGAGGCGGAAGAAGCCAGCCTAGGCTGGCCCAGGATTTGGAGGAGGCGTGTGGGAGGATCCCCGATCCTAGGACTTCTCCAGAGAGGAACTAGGGAGGACCCGGGAGGGAGAAGGGCATGCCCGTGTGCAGGGGTCCTGGTTCCTAGCAACTGGCTCTGACTCCAAGATCCACCCTTTGGAATGTGATGGGGGTGCAGCCTTGGCCTCTGGCGCTGACAGCAGCCTGGCCTGCTCCTTAGGTACTGCCAGGGATAAGGACTTCTGGGAATTTCAGAAAGACCCACCCCCTCCGAGGGGTTTCTGATACTGAGGACAGGGAGCAGTGACTCACCACCCCTGGAAATGGGGACATCTAGGGAAGGGAGGCAGTTTGTTCAGGCAGCCCTTTCCGGTCAGCTGGAGCAGAGGAAGAAGGGGGTCTAGGGAGAGACTGGACGCAGATGCCACCCCCCAACTCCCCAAAAAGCTTTTTTGCTGACAGTTCCAAAGCATAGCACTTCATAGGCCCAGGGAAGATGAGGGGGCTGAGGGGAGGACTATAATCAAACCCCCCCGGGAAGAGAGAATCTATTACAGTATAGGGAGAGGGGCACCCCAGTACCCCAAGTCTGCTTGCTTTAAATAGGTCCTGCCATCTGCTGCATCAAGACAAAACATACTCTAGTGTGTAAGACTTTCTTTTTAAAAAGATTTATTTATTTATGCATACAAGAGCTGGGATGTAGGCCAGAGGTGAGGGAGGGTGAGAGGACTCACCAGAGACAGAGTGGGGAGCAGAACAGGCAGGTTGACAGAAATACAGTGCTGAGGGGAGCAGACGGAGAGGTCTGCCGTGCTGTGCAGTGTGGGTCAGCTCCCTGTGGGGAGTCCAGTGGTGATGCAGTGGCTGCCAATAGCTTCATAGTGCTGAGATTTAACCCCTTGCGACACCAGGGAGGCCCTCAGTATGTAAGACTCTTAGTGGAAAGGAACTTTAATACAATTAGCTTGCAGTACAGAAAAGGGGAAGAATGGAAACGAGCAAAATTTCCAAATCAAGCACCCAAAGTTACCCATCCCCTCGTGGGTAAATGTCCAGCTAAACAGGTTGGCCCAAAGCAGGGCCACTGAGGCCTGAAAGCCTGACACTGGTCTAGGCATCTCCTAGGGGTGTCTAGGAAAGAGAAGAGAGGGCCCAGCATATCTGAGACAGAAGGAGCAGAACGAAACTCAAGATCACACTGCCACTGTCAACCTCCCCACGGGCCTCCCACCCATCTGTGTCATCCAGTCCAGGGCCAAGATGCAAGTTCAGCGTCTTCACAGGTCTCTACCACGTGCCCCTCCAGGTCTCCTTCTGGCTCTCCCTCCTCTTCCTGCCCTGGTCTTCTCTCCAGCCCCACCCTCCCTTGGGTAGGACAGGAAAGCTGGAACCTCCCCTCTTCCTGGGGACCACCCTATGACGGAGACTGGGCCTACAGGGACTCCCTGAGTTCCCAGAGCTGATGTGCCAGTCACCCCATGCAGGTCCTCCGGCGCGTGTGATACTTTCCCTGGGAGCCCAGGGTGGCTGAAGCTAAGTCCTAACTCTAAAGGACAAGTCAGCAGTTGAGTCACGAGGTTTGACAGCTGTCTAGGAGATTCCCATGCCAGGAATGGGGAAGGTTCTGGAAGAGGAGCCTCCACTTGCAGGGGCCTCTAAGTCTTCCCCCTTCCTGGCAGCTCAGATGGGCAGAGTCCACCCCAGAGAGGCCGGGCAGTATCCCAGGCCCCCAGCCCCAGGTGGGAGGTGCTGTCGAAGGGCAAAGACACCAAAGGAGGGAGGCTGGTGGCTGGGGGGCTCCTGGTCACGTGCTCCCGTGAATGTCAGGCAGAAGGAGGAGAGGGGGTGTGCAGGAAGCAAGGCACCCAAAAGGAACTGAGACATCTTCGGGGCTGGCCTCCTGTCAGCTATTACCTCCACCGCAGTCCCAACTACTTTCCTTCTCCGGCGCCAGCTTCCTGGCTCTCTACCCAAGAGCTCACTGCCGGCTCCTCAAAGCATCACTAGGCCCAGGCAGGTGAGGGTGAGGGGGTGCTCACTGCCAAAAGACTCGGGCCATGGAAACCTGGGGGCACCGCAGATCGGGGTGGGGGAGGACGTCGCCTGCTTCCTCCTCTCCACCCCGAGGTACCCTAGCTTCCTGTTCTTGATCTCGATCGGTAGCTTGGCCCACACAGGAGTGGCTTTCGTTCTAATCCCCTCCTGCCCCATCTGTGACCCCACTATCCATCTAGATCTGGGGGCTGACTGACGTGGAGGCCAGCCTCCAGCAGTCTCCAAGGGTTAGCAGAGACGCTCAGTCTCCAGCCTGGCCACCCATCCCAGGCCCTGGCCCCAACTCTACTCCAGCTCTGATCAGCTTCCTCTCGTGGGACCCACCCCAGAACAGTCAAGGAGAGGGCAAGGTAAGACGAGGCCAGGGTTGTAGGGGGCAGAAAGGAGTTGGTCCCGGGCCCCATGGCCAAGGGCAAGGGTGTGGGGAGGCCTCCAGAACCCCAAGGGTCCTCCAGTTCTTCACCCAGCACTCCTCCCCCAAGGGCCAGCAGTGGGCCAGCCCCGCCCCACACCCCCTCCTGCGTACACCCCCTGTTCCTTTTGTACCTCATTCCTTTTTTACTGTCACCGCTGACAGCTGAATCAGAGAAGTGGGAGGAAGAGAGAGGATGGAATTGCGGCTTTTGGGGGGCCGGGAGCCGGGAAGGGAAGGGTGTTTGGAATGTCACAAGGTAAAAAGAGACTCAACAGTGAGCATGAACCGATTTGGCTGGTCAGCAGGGAGCCTGCAGAGGCCAGGTAGGGGTGGGGGACAGTGGAGTGTTGGACTCAGGGGCCAAGCCCCAGGCATCCAGGCACCCCAGCAGCAAGGAAGATATGGGAGTCCCCTGGCGAGGACCGGACGGTCCACTATCTCTGTAAGTCTTCTGAGTGGACATCAGGGTTCTGGGGGGAGGCTTGGAGAGGGCTGGGGGCCTGGCACCCACACAAACTCTTGGCAACCTACTTCCGGGTTGGCTGCCCGCCCCCCAGACCAGAGGTAGCTTAGAGCTGGGGTGTGGCTTAGGGCTGGGGGTCCCTTCTGGCCTGGCCTGGGTCTTTCTTTCCCTTTGTGCAACAGGATTCTCAAGTCCTGTCACCCCCCACAAGCTCCTTGTCTGTGCCCCCTTGCTTTGGGAACAGGCGGCCGGCTCCTGACAGTGAATTCCCAAGACTGAAGGGGCCAGAATTTCCAGGGTGAGGGCACCGATCTGAGGCAGACACTCGGAACTGGCCTCTGGCCACAAGTCAGCTTTAGCAGAAGCAACCTGGGTGCTGGAGTGCCTGCTAGGAGCTGGGGTCAGCTGAGCTCTGTCCCAGAGGAGACGCCAATAGGCCAGAAGAGGGTTCAGGAGCTGGGGAATGCAGTGGCCTGGAATGGCCCAGCCCCTTGTCCATCCCCAGGAAGCGGCCTCGGGCCATGGCTAAGGTACTGGGACACTGCCAGCCTGCCCCGGAGGGCACAGACAGAAGCACCCGACCCCTGGTGGCAGCCAGAGGCACAGGAGGGTAGCAAGCAGCTGGGGTGTGCGTGGGTGGCAGCAGGAGGGGCGGAGGGAGGAAGCTGGCTTCCTGAAACCTCCTCAGCCCTCAAAGACAGACCGACAGACAGATAGACAGCTGGCGAGAGGCAGCCTCGGGGACACAGCTGCTTCAGTAAGTACTTGTTTGGGGGGGAGGAGGAGGCCTGTGGTCCTGGGGTGGTGTGAACCCCGGGGAGAAGGGAGGGCATCGAAGAGGAGGTGTGAGAGGTTCCTTGGGCGCTGCACGACCTGGCAAGGGCCCAGTGCTGACCCAGCTGGCATCCCCAGGGGACCAGCAGGGCAGCTGTGGGGAGCTGCAAGCAGAGCTGAGGCTAAGGAGACCCACCTGCTGCCGGAGAGCCTCTCCCTGCCGCCCACCTCTGCACGGGCCGCTCTGTGCCCTCACCCTGTCCCCGCGGGCTTGTAGTGCTCAGATCCCCTCCCCACCACACACGACTCAGGAGCTGTGACCCTGGCCCCAGAAGACGGGGACTGCCCCCCGAGAAGAGGTGGCCCCACCACCTCCGTGCCCCCTCTTGTACCCCCAGCTGTCGCCTCATCGTGCACTGTCGCTCACGGCTTGATGAGGCCATTTCCTGTGACGGTTATAGAGGCGGGTGATGGGGGGGATGGGCAGAGGAGGAAGGAAGCACCCCCAGGCTACCGCCCTGGATAGAGACCCCAGAAGCCAGAAGTGAACCTGGGATGGGAGTGCCAGGGTTAGGAGAGGGTCCTTGTGGGAGCCGGCAGCCTCATGCCGGGTCCCCAACTGGCTCCAGTGTGGCCAGAGGCCTCCAGTGGCTCATTCAGGGAAGGCACGTTGGTCAGGTTCACAAGTGGTGTCTGTAAGCTTTCGCCCTTCCTCCTGCAGAGAACACACACACATATTTTCTATTTCCACCCTTGCCTTCTCTCACTAGGGTCCCCAGCTGAAAGCCTGGGTACTTCCGGCTCAGGTCACCCCTCCGCCCTTCTACACCTCCTACTGGGTTCCCCCATCTGCACCCACAATCCCTGCCCTTATCTTACCTGTATGCTAATCCCAACCTTCCTGCCCCCACTCACCCCACCCCCCGGGGTTCCACCAAGGAAATCCTGTCCTTCCATTGGTGACAAAGGACACCATCTCTGGGGAAACAGAAGACACCCCAGTTCACACAGAGGTGCTTGGGCCGATGACTGCCTGGGGCTGAGCGTCCTTCTCCTGGCCAGTCAGGCAGGCCAGAGTGAGCCGATGAGGAACCCTGCCTTTCAGGTGACCCTCATGGCTGAGTGAGCCTCCCCTGGGCCCAGCACCCCAGCCCAGCATGGTCCAGGACTGCGGGGGGCGCTCCAGAGCACAACTGCCGACCTCGTCTTTGGGGAAAGCCATGACCCAGCCTCCCCCAGCCAAAGCACCAGCCAAGAAGCATGTCCGACTGCAGGAGAGGTGAGATCATTCTGGGAAGAAGCACCCCATCCCTGCCCGCCATCTGGCCCTCCGGCTCTGGCCGCTGCGTCCAGAGGGACTATAGTTGAGCAGAACTGGGAAAGGAAGCCAGATGAGCCCCACTGCATGTTGTTACATGCCTTTTACATGTCTGGGGCACAAAACTTCAGGGCGGCCTTGCGCCTGTTCCCTGAACCCTGGGCTGGGCTGAGCAAGCCCTGGGACAGAGCCGGGGCCTCTTGCTCTTGGAGGTAGATGGGAACTTCAGAGGACAGGGCAGGAGGAGAAGCAGTAAGACCCAGGCTTGTCCCTTGTCCTGTTCTGCCTGACGCAGAGAGAAGGGTGTGCAGCAGGGGGCTGAGCCCTTGACTTCACTGGTGGGCCTCTGGGTCAAGGGCACAACAAGGAGCAGCCCCAGATCGCTGTCACAACCAGACTTGGGCAAGAGGCCAAGTTCAAGGGCGCTCACCCGCCTCTGGTCTGCCCTCAGGCGGGGCTCCAATGTGGCTCTGATGTTGGATGTGCGCGCGCTGGGGACCGTGGAGCCCATCTGCTCAGTGAACACACCCCGGGAGGTCACCCTCAACTTTCTACGCACGGCTGGACACCCCCTCACTCGCTGGGCCCTGCAGCACCAGCCACCGAGCCCCAAGCAGCTAGAAGAGGAATTCTTGGTAAGAACTTGGGGTCCTCGCTGAGTCACTCTGCCCCTCTGGCACCATCCTCTCCTGGGCAGTGGGCGTGTCTTCTCTGTGGGTACTTCAGAAAGAGCGCCCCAGAAATCAGGGAGGACCACGCCCTGTGGGCTTTGTCTGCCCTGCACCCACCCAGACCTGTATCTGCTGCTAGGAAGGGCGACCAGGGTCAATCTGCTGGAAAGGGTGGGAGGGAAAAGAGGACCAGGAAAGGGTGTCAACTGTTCATTGGCTTCCTCTCCCTGTTAGAAGATCCCCTCAAATTTTATCAACCCCGAAGACCTGGACATCCCTGGCCATGCCTCCAAGGACCGATACAAAACCATCTTGCCAAGTAAGGACTGCGGTGGGGTGGAGGGAGGCGGGGGCTGCCTGGGCCTGGGAGCAAGATTTACAGCCTTGGGCAGGAAAGAGCTAGTTCCTTCAGCGGAGAAATATCAATACCGCCTCCTCTCAGCGGACAGAGACGCCCTAACAAACACTGGCCCGTAGCACAGCTCACATTTCCACGCTGACTGTGGGTGGAGCATGCTCGAGTCCCTGAGGTGAACGCGTTGCTTGAAACTACCGTATGAAGCTGGTGCCAGGGGATCGCTAACCCCACTTTATGATGAGGAAACCAAGGGTCAGAGAAAATGTGTAACTTGCTCAAGTTCACACAGCTCATTACCCCAAGCCTTCTTCCTCCTCTGGGCCACATGCTGGATCAGACTCCCCGTTGAGGTTTGCCGTAGAAGAGGTACCTTCAGGGGGGTGCTCAGAGAGAGGTTTTGAGAAACTCAGTTGGAAGTAGAAAAGTGACTGGGGAGACGGAAGTCCTGAGGCCCAAGAGGCGGCCCTGCACGCTTCTGTTCTGCAGAAATAGGCGTGGGGTCCATGGCCATGGGGTCTTTGGAGACCCCTCCTCAGAGCGTGGCTCCTCAGAAAGCCTTAGTTGGGCCCTCCCTGCTGGCACAACAAGTTAAGGCATGGCACTATGAGGCTGTCTGCAGCCACCGCAGCACGAGGTCAATCCCTAGCCCTGGAGCTGACCCACATGGCACAGCAGACTTCTCCTGACCCGCCCGCCGCTCCCCTCAGCAGTGTGCTTCAGTTAGTCTGTGTGTTCCGCTTCCCACTCTGTCTCTGGTGAATCCTCTCAGCCACCCACCCCACCCCTGCCTCTGGTCTGTACCCCAGTTTTGTATACATAAATAAATCAAAAAAAAAAAAAGTGGGCCCTCCCTGGTGGCGCAGCGGGTTAAAGCACTGCACTAAGAAACTAAAGAGCCGCTTCCGCATGAGTTCGATTCCCGCCTGCCCTGGAGGTGACCACATGGCGTGGCAGACCTCTCCTGGCCCGCCCACTGCTCCCCTCAGCAGTGTGCTTAGTCGATCTGCCTGTTCTGCTTCCCGCTCTGTCTCTGGTGAATCCTCTCACCCTCCGCATCTCTGGCCTGTACCCCAGTTCTGTATGAATAAATAAATAAATCTTTCATTAAAAAAAAAAAAAAGAAAGCCCTAGTCACAAGGCCTTAACTCACTGTTCCTGCCTGTTCTTTTTTTCTTAAACGTAGATTACAGTCAATAAAGCGGTCACCCAATCAAAGGAAATGTGGTTTGTAATATTATTGAATTATTTATTTTTTAATTTAAATTATTTCATGATTTTCCTATTATTAGACCTTTAGGGTTTCCGTTATTTGTTTGGAATTTCATTAACTCTAAGGTGCCCTAGACTGAGACATAACAATTGTTTTATGTACCAACTAAACTTCGATAAGCTATAGTTCGTCAATTAGGCATTTCATTTTATCTGTATTCTTTTTGTTTTGTAATGTAGAATTATAAAAAGCATTTTTTCCTTTTCCTCCCCCACCACCCTAACTTTCTCCCTTCTTCCTAACCTCAGGGGCCTCAGGATGTTTTATTTTTTCCTTTCTGAATATACAGTTTTTTCTTTAGGTAATGTTCGTTTACATTATTGTTGGTATTTCAGAAGTGCAGGATCCCCTTCCAGTGCAGTTACCATGTGCTCCCACTAGCGGGCACCAGTCACTGCCTAATGCATTGTGCTCACCCCTCCCGCTTCCCCCATGTCTCAGTTCTACAGACTGCTTTCAAGGGCCAGCTTGTGAGCCTGGTTTTACCTGACCCCACTGTCTTGTTTCTCTATAGACCACGTAAGTGACACCATCCAGTATTTGTCTTTCCCCTTCTGGCTTATTTTGCTGACCATAACCCTTTCAGTTCCACCCATGTTGATGTGAGTGGCAGGCATTTATCTTTTTGATGGCTGAGTAGTATTCCACTGTGTGCATAGACTGCATCTTCCTGATCCACTCATCAGTTTTTGGGTACTCAGCTATTGTAAACAGTGCTGCAGTGAGCACAAGGATGCAGGTTTCCCTTCGAAGTGGTGAATTCACATTCAGGTAGATGCCTATGAGTGGAATTTCTGAGTTATATAGCAGATCTATTTTGAATCTTTTCAGGAACTTCCATGCTGCTTTCCCTAGGTGCTGGAAAGTTTACATTCCCACCAGCAGTGTGGGAGAGCTTCATCTTCACATCCTCACCAGAACTGTTTCTGGTCTTTTTGATATGGGCCATTCCCACTGGTAGGAGATGGTATCTTACTGTGGTTTTGATTTGCCTTTTCCTGATAATAAGTGATGATGGGCATTTTTTTCACGAGCCTGTTGAGCATCGGTGGATCTTTTAAGAACTGCCTATTTAGCTCTTCTGCCCATTTGTTAATTTAGTTATTTGTTTTCTTTTTTATTGAGTTGTATGAGCTCTTGGTAAATCTTCAATATTAACCTTTTTTCAGATGTATGGAATGAAAATATTTTTCCCATTCAGTTGTTGTCTTTTTGTCTTAGTTACCATTTCTTTCACTGTGCAGAAGTTTTGTGGCTTGTAGTTCCAGGCGTTTCTGCTCTCATTTTGTTTTCCTCGCTGTTGGAGTAATTTCTGTGAAGACATCACAAGAGCCTATGTCGCGAAGTGTTTTGTCTAAAGCTGTCTCCTTTGGATTTTGTAGTTTCGGGTCTTACATCCAAGGTACATCCATGTCGAGCTTCATTCTTTTGCATGTGGAATTCTGGTTTTCCCAAGTCCATTGACTGAACAGGATGTTGTTTCTTTTAAAGATTTTATTTATTTACTTATATATGTATGTGTGTATTTGTGCATACAAGAGCTGGGGTATAGGCGAGAGGTGCAGGGCATAAGAGGATTCACCACAGACAGAGTAGAGAGCAGAATAGATGGATCTTCTGAAACACACTGCTGAGGGGAGCAGCCAGTGAGACAGGAGAGGTCTGCTGTGCCATGTGGGTCACCTCCCTGGCTGGTGATCAAACTCAGGCAGTAGTGGTAGTAGCGCTGAGGCTTAACCGCCCTCCCCCAAGCGACCAGTGAGGCCGCTGAACAAGTATATTTTTTGAAGTGCACCAGTTTTTTAAAATTTTTACATTGTCCACTTGTCTGCTATGTGAATGTCCTGAGTTTGTTTTTATTATCCTAACTTAACTTCACTGCATATAATTTTTGTAAATTCCTGTAACATGTTCAAAATGATTGTACTTTATCCTTTCTTGTGGCTGTATAGTACTCCATGGTGCATTGTACCACATCTGTTCCTGTCCAACTTAACACTCCCACTGTCCAGGAATCTGCCTGTATGGGTGTTAGCACTCACCAAGGGGGCTGGGGAGAAGTCTATGCCTCACTCTCGCCATGTTTGCCTGACATTCCCCGGCACCCAGGATGCTCTCTTCCCAGAACCAGACTGGGGCTGGAAAAGGGCATCTCCTTTCCTTTCCTCGTAAACTAGCAACTTTCCCTTGCTTGGACTTGGTTTGGAGAAAATTTCCCCCTTACAGGAAGCTGAGGAATGAAATTTGGATTCTAGTCCCACTTCCCTTCAGGGACACTTCAGTCATGCATTCACCATCGGAAAGTCTCCATCCACAGCCTCTTTGTTCACTCCTATGAGCATAATCCATTCTACATCCACATTGATCTCAAGGTTATTGATCGCACTGCCTCAGTGCTAGGTCTTTTCTGTTCCCTGCCCTTCCTTGCTAGTGCAGCTTAAGCAGCTCTGCCCAGTTAACCCAAGCCAGACCGTGCTCTGAACGTCACTCTACTGCTCAAAGCGTTCTGTGGCTCCCTTTCACCTACATCTAATAATTCGCCGCAGGAAGCTCCTCTATCTCACCTTATTGGACTCTGCATTAGCTGGTCAACTTTTGACTTGACTTCTGCTGATTTTTACTTCCTAGATCCCCAGAGTCGGGTCTGTCTTGGCCGGGCACAGAGCCAAGAGGACGGAGACTACATCAATGCGAACTACATCCGAGTGAGTGGCCTGGCAGTGAAGGAGTTGGGGTGGGGTTGTGTTTAAAGAGGCCCCCGGAGAACACTTCTGGCTGGTGGGCCATGAGCTTATGTCCCCCTGCTGCGACTTGCTGCCATGGCCTTTCCAGACAATGAACCAATCTAGCTGCCAAGACACCAACCTTGAAGACAGAGCTGATGTTAATGCCGAGAACCCACCCATTGCTCATTCTGGCCCGTCTCTAAACTTGGCAGAAAGCTGGCATCTTGAACCCAGCCCCTGGCTTCTTGCCAGCTAGTTAATCTAGAGGTCTTCATGGGTAGCGCCAGCACAAATGGAAGCTGTGCATGGCGTCCTCATTCTCTCTATATATATTTTTAAGATTTTATTGATTTATGCAGAGAAGAACTCGGGTGGAGTGTGGGAGGATTCACCAGAGACCAAGTGAAGAACAGAACAGGTGGATGACTGAAATACACTGCCAAGGGGAGCAGCAGGAGGGTCAGGAGAGGTCTGCTGGCCATGTGGGTCAGCTCCCTGACCAGTGATCAAACTCATGCTGCAGTGGCCGGCGGTTGCTTGATTGTGCTGTGTCTTTAATGGGGGGGGGCTCTCTATTAAGTTTTAACACCCTTTCTGCAAACAACCCCTCCTTTGTGGAGACAGACGTCCATCTATAGGAGCTCAGCCATAAGGTGGGGCCCTAACCCCCCTTCTCACCTCTGCTGATCCTAAGTGAATGCAGTGCCCTCTGTTGGCTCAAGGTGGGTCGATCCACCCTCGAAGGTGCAGAGATGATAGTGGCAGGCAGACACCCTGGGGAACCACCTTCCCTTTGCAGGCAGCTGCTGGGGTGAGAGGTGGTCTGGATTTTACCATCATCTCAGCTGAAGGGGAGAAAGAAAGACTGTCCAGAGTGAGCCCATGTTGTGTTTAAATATGTCAAAGCGATATGTAAAAGTAAAACAGGCACCCAGCAGACACGGAGCACTGCTATTTTTGAGAAAACAGCAGATGAGTAAGGAAACCAGCATTTCAGACTCTTAAATGCTTGATCGAATTTAATGTGCAGGGCACAGGAAAGATAGTACCACCCCATGGCACAGGTGCGAGCGAGGCTTGTGGAGCTAGGTGATCTGTCGGGGCAGCTCAGCCAAGAGAGTTAGCACGGCTGGGAAGTTGAACCCAGATGCGCCTCACTTCCAAGCCCCTTGTCCCTTCCACCAGAGGTTCCTGGTGCGCTATGTCTGGTGCATGGCATCGGTGAGTTTACTCCTTGGGCCTGAGCGAGGCCCTGCAGGGCTTGGGAGCTCCCGGAGCCCTGTGCCCACTGCCTCCCACCCACGGTGCCTCCCTTCCAGGGCTACAACGGGCAGGAGAAGGTCTACATTGCCACCCAGGGCCCCATGCCCAACACTGTGTCGGACTTCTGGGAGATGGTGTGGCAGGAAGATGTGTTCCTCATCGTCATGCTCACTCAGCTCCGAGAGGGCAAGGAGGTAGGAGGGAGGCCTTGGTGGGCCCGGAGAGGCGCCCCTCCCCCACCACACACGGACCTGCCCCCACTAGGGCAATGCGGGACCAGAGCTCCCCTGGGACTGAGACCATAGCCAGGCCCAGCTTGCACCCCTCAAAGGGTAACTGAGGGGACCACTCCAGCTGCAGGTGCCTGTTCAAGAGCACCCCACCCCAGGTGCTGCCCCAGGCTGTGCCCAGACCCTCCAGTGGGGGTGGGAAGTGGGGGGAGGGACCCCACTTGTCTTCCTGCTGCCTCAGCCCTGCTCAGCTGATAGGCCCTCCCCCCTCTGACTCCAGCTCCCTGCCTTCTAGAAATGTGTGCACTACTGGCCTACAGAAGAAGCAACCTATGGACCCTTCCAGATAAGAATTAAAGAGGTGAAGGAGCGCCCAGAATACACTGTGCGGCAGCTCACCATCCAGGTATGGCTCCCGGCAAGGCTGGTACCAGGGTGGGTGCTGCTCCCAGCAGCTCTGGAACTCAGCCTTGACCTTCCCGGGAGCCAAGCTTTCTTCATCTAGACCTTGAACCCACAAGTGCTTAAGAGAAAGAAACATAGGTTTGGGCCTCAGGGGTGTCTGGTCTGAGAGAGCTGGACTGACAAACCAAGCAGGCCCCACCAGAAAGCCCACCCATTCATGCTGAATGGAATGCAGCGGTGAGGCCCTGGAGGCCTGCGGAGGGGCCGCAGGAGGTGCAAGAGGCGGAAAATAACACGTGTAACTGTTCTTTCAGATTGTTTTCTGTTATTGCACAGTGGCTTGTACCATTCAAACATTTTTTTGAATTTATTTATTTATATAGAACTGGGGTACAGGCCAGAGGAGCAGGGGCCGTGAGAGGCTTCACCAGAGACAGATTGGGGAGCAGAACAGGCAGATCGAGGAAGGACACTGCTGAGGGGAGCAGCGGGCGGGCCAGGAGAGGTCTGCCACGCCATGTGGTCACCTCCAGGCGGGCCCTCAAAACATTATTCTACCAACTTATTACCCTCACAGCATCATGGGAAGTGAAGCAACACCATCTCATTGTCTCTTTTTTTTTTTTTTTAAAGATTCATTTATTTATTCATACAGAACTGGGGTACAGGCCAGAGGCTCAGGGGCGGTGAGAGGCTTCACCAGAGACAGATTGGGGAGCAGAACAGGCAGATCGACGAAGTACACTGCTGAGGGGAGCAGCGGGCGGGTCAGGAGAGGTCTGGCTCGCCATGTGGTCTCCTCCAGGGCAGGCAGCAGGCGGGAATCGAACTCATGCGCAAGTGGCTTCAGACTCTCAGTGCTGTGCTTTAACCCGCTGCGCCACCAGGGAGGGCCAGTCTCTATTTTTTTAAAAAAATTTATTTATGCATACAAGAACAGGGATTACAGGCCAAAGGTGCAGGATTCACCAGAGACATAGTGGGGAGCAGAATAGGTGGATCAAGTGAAATACAACTGCTGAGGGGAGCAGCGGGTGGGTCAGGAGAGTTTTGCTGTGCCATGTGGGTCCCCGTCCTGGCCGGGGATCGAACTCATGCTGCAGTGGCTGTGGATAGCTTCACAGTACTGTGCTTTAACCCACTGTGCCGCCAGGGAGGGCCCTGTCTCCACTTTCTAAGTGAAGAACATGAGGCTGAGTGTTGCCCAAGTCTTGCTAGTTAGAGGCAGAGCCACGCCTTGACCTGGGGTCCTCCCCTCTCCTGAGACAATGCTCCTTCCAGAGATTCAGAGGCAGGAGCACTGGAGTGTGAGGAGCAGAAAGAGTCAGCTTTGGAGTCTGTGACTAGCCTGAGGTGATTCTCGCCCTTGCTCTCCTCTGGCACCAGAGAAGCAGGCAGTGCCCCATCCTGACTCTGGTTCTCATGCTGCCCCCCACTCCCCGCCCCAGCACCAGCAGGAGTGCCGGCAGGTGAAGCACGTGCTCTTCTCGGCTTGGCCTGACCACCAGACCCCCGAGTCAGCTGGGCCCCTGCTACGCCTGGTGGCAGAGGTGGAGGAGAGCCCAGACACTGCTGTCAACACCGGGCCCATTGTGGTGCACTGCAGGTATGAGGCCCCACCCCCACCCCGCCATGGCAGCTCTGAGCCTGGCTCCCCTTCCCTTTCCCTGGTGTCTCCTGGAAGGAGCTAGAACAGAATATAGTAGGCCCTTCTCACGGGGCAGGAATCTCTAGGCCATTCAGCCCTGCCCTGTTCTTATACCCTCTTCACGCAGCACCCAAAGGGGTCTAGAACTAACATCTGGCAGTCTCCAGGCCTGTGTGGGAGGAGGCAACTAACATCTGGCAGTCTCCAGTCTGCCTGCTTGTTGGGAACTCATTTATTCATTCAGCAAATGTTGGCAGAAAACCCGTTATGCCAGGCACGGTGTTAGGTGCTGAGACAGCTGTGAATGAGACTGTTTGGCTGTGCCCTGATGGGCTGACCATCTGACTGGAAAGACAGCAGGTTAAACAATTAAACGCAAGGCATATGGAGAGCTGTGATGGGAGTATTTGGGGAGCACAGGTTGAAGTTGCCTAGTCTGGTCTAGGCCAGGCAGAGGAAGTTCTCTAGGAAAAAGAACTTCTCAGGTAAGCTAAGACCTGAAAACTGAATTAACAAAGCAAAATGGGAAAGGAATAGCTCTCCACAGAGGGAACAGCAGGTGCAAAGGCCCAGAGTGGAACTTAAAGATGGATGCAGTGTCAGGAGCGGAGTTAGAAGGTGGAGGGATGTGGAGGTCAGGGGTGTAGAGATGAGAGCTGATTCTGGAAGGTAAGTGCAGGCCAGATGATGAGGGGCCTCGTAAGACTGACCTAGAAATTTAGACTTGTCATTTATAAAGAATACTGCGTAAAAAGTGGGTTGCCTAAGAGCCAAGCAGAAGACAAGCTGAAAAGAAGGAAACCATTTGGGTAAGAGGGCAGGGTAGAGAGAAGTGTGGGAAGGAGCAGGGGTGAGGGGTGTCAGCACAGGGAGGAGGGGCCGAGTCCTCCGTGCTGAGAGGAATCAGGTAAGGCCCCACCCCACCCCCCACCCCAGGCAGCCAGCCTGTTAGCTGGAAACCCCTGTGGACAGCAGAACAGAAGGGGGCCCATCAACATGTCCATGGGGGACCAGGAAGAGATCTAGGGCAAGAGTAAGAAGATAAACAGCTCCCCTGCTGCCTGCCCACTACAACCAGATGCCTGCCTCCTGCTATTTCCCCCTGGGCTCTGGCCGGCCGACCCTGTTCCCCACTCTCCTGCCCCCCCCCAGGCCCCCTGCCCCAACGCCTCCTTGGCTTTACTCAGTGCAGGGATTGGCCGGACTGGCTGCTTCATCGCCACCCGCATCGGCTGTCAGCAGCTGAAAGCCCGAGGGGAAGTGGACATTCTGGGCATCGTGTGCCAGCTGCGTCTGGACAGGTGGGTTCACAGGTGCCACAGGGCCAGCAAGGTCAGCAGTGGCGAAGACGCCACCAGTGTCCCCGGGCTCACAAGCATATCCCCGTCAGCACTTCCTGTGAGAAAGGAAGGGGCCCCTCTGCGTAAGAGCTGTTTGTTTTGAAACTAGCACCTAAGAATCTCAGTCTAGAATGTGGGCTTGGAGGCCTAGAACCAAGCCTGCTGTTCTATCCATCCCCCCCACCCCCCTACCCCCCAGCCCTCTGACTTTTTCAGTTTTGTTTTTCCAAATTCCCTACTCAGGAGAAAGGGGAGAGAGTAGAGTCGGGTAGGTTCTGGGTGGGCAGTTGCAGGGTTTGGAAACAGATGACCCAGCGGGAATTCCACGCGGCTTGTGAGGTGTCATTGTCTTCTTGGGGCGTTGTCTTCTTGAGCGAGGGAGAAATAACGGCCCCTTTCCTCAGGAGCTGTGACAAGGAACAGATGAACAATATGACAGTGTTTGGGGAACATGAGACCCTATCTTACAAATATATGGCGTTATTATTTTACTTTTAAGATTATTGGGAAGAGGCTTGGAGAATCGGAGCTCAGGACAGCGGCCTGAGGAATTAAGAGTCTGATGTGCCCCCAGAATTGAGGGGTCAGTGTGGGCCCCTTCTCTGCCCTGAGTGAGGGGCAGGGGGCTTTCCTCATGGAGTGGGTGTGGCTGCAGCCGGCAGGAGGGGCATACTGAAGATGAATGTGGGGAAAGTCAGTCTCTCCTGATAGGATGACAGAGACACTCCTGAGACCTGGCCCTCGGCCCCCCACCCCCACCTTCACTCACCCTCTCGTGCTTCCACTCTCAGGGGGGGGATGATCCAGACCTCGGAGCAGTACCAGTTCCTGCACCACACCTTGGCCCTGTATGCGGCCCAGCTGCCAGACAAGCCCAGCCCTTGACTTCTGCTGCCCTGTGCCAGGTGCCAACTTCCCCCCAGGTCTGGGAAGGTGGGTCTGGGCCAAGTGGGTTTTGTGACCTGGGGTCCCCCCGTGCCCCCGTCCCATGGAGGGGGGACCTGTCAGTGAAAGCCATCACAGAAAGCTGCACCTACCAGGTCAGGGCCAGATTCAGGTCACTATTGGCCCGTCTGCTTCTGCTAGTCAGCTCAGACGAACTCTGGGGGCACCTTCCCTGTCCCTCTGGACTTAAGAAGGGAAGTTGGCACTTATGCCAGGTCTGAGAAAGATCTAAGTATCCTGGTCTCCTTTCAAATGCTCTGTGAGCTCCAGCCTCCCATCTGTGACATGGACATTAGCTGCCACGAGTTCCTAGAAGTTGTTCCAGCTGTATCCCCTTCCTGAGGCTGGCAAGAAAGTGATCCCAAAATCATCCCCTTGCAGGCCCTGCCCAAGCATAGGCCAGATGCCAAAGCTGGTCTTCACCTTGGCCAAGTTCTCAACATCCTACAGTGACTCACTGTTTCCTCACCCCACATCTTGAGGGCTGCACACCCCTCAAAGAGACCAAGGACCAAACTATCCCTGTGCCTACACATGTGTCTTGGGGACAAGGCCAGGCAGTTGAAAGCTGCAAGAGGAGGGAATGTGAGGACCCCCCAGAGACCCAAAGGGTGACTCCTGGCTCCATAATTGCCAGCAACTCACCCTGGCTACTCCGTAGGGAGAATCACATCCTCTGTCTTGCTTCCGGAAGACATCCTGGATACCCTAGAAATACAAAAGTAAGAAGCAAGAAGAGGCTTCTAATCTACCCTAGTAAAGAGCTCAACCTCATCTCTGCCTTCCAGCCCTGTATATGCAGAGTACACGCAGAGACTTTGGGGGTTTCTGCCAAAAATCTGGGTTACAGCACTCCACACAGGCCCAGGGACTCAGACCAGACTGAATGGGGACCCTCATAGTCTACCCAGACAACTAGATCCACCCAAGAACCTTGGCATCCTTATAAATTCCAAGACACCCCAGATCTCTCTCAGGGCCACCTCCCACACTCCAGGAAGACATCGGGTCCTTGAATGCAAGGTGAACGGCACCATCTCTCCTGGCACTCAGCCACGGGTCTGCCTTTGTGAGGCCAAGGAGGAAATCCCCAAGAAACTGGACCTTGGAGAAAGCAGGGCCTTCTCATTCATCGCCTCTCTTCTGAAGACCTGCAGCCTTGAACCGGAGATCAATTTTCTTCTTGCTTCTGCTTGGCCTTACTGAAGAATACTCCTTCCGTCCAGCTCTGGGGATGGGCTCATCTGGGCCTGCGCCTTTTCTAACCCCTAGGAGAAGCGACCACTGTCTGAACCTGCAGGCTGGCAGAGATCTCTCAAGTGCCTGTCTGCTCTGAGTTCATGGCCAGCCAGGAGGGAGAGGTGGCTTGGGCTCGAGGGCTCCCCTCCCTGGCACTGCTGACCCAACCCCTAGTCTAGAACTTAGAGGGCACAAGTTCTGGAAAAGTAACCAAGTGGGAAAATAAAGACTCCTTGGATGGCTGGCCCATTCCTTCTTTTCATCTTCTCTGGCCTCTGGGGCCTCTTTCTAGAAATAGAATAAAGAGCCGTAGAGTGGAGGCAGGCTGCTGCTCTCCATCTGGGGTATGTACTTTCCCTGAACTGTTAGGGACGTGCAGAGCAAAGAGATACCTGAGGCCATTTAGGAAATGGGGAGGAGGGGAACCCCAGGAGTTGGAGAGGGACTTATAAAGGGCAGAGACTAGAAAGACAATACAAAATACCCCAAAATATTGCACAGTGTCAAAATTTTGTGACCCACTCTGGTTACTACTTCATCATTTGGGACCGTGATGGGTAAATTGGATGGATATGGTTGATATTATTAGTTTATGCATCTTGACTAAAATAATAAACTACATGTGAGTATATCTGAAAGCCAGCTACTAAGGGTTCCCTCACCTAGGCCCCACACAGACCTTCCATGCAGACTGGACAGTCCAGCCAAGGTGCCCTGGCCCAGCGGTGGCCCGTCCAGGCAGGAAAGGAGGACAGGCCTGCACCTGCCGTCCTCCTGAAGAAAACTTGGGCCATCTTTGCCCTTTTCCAGGTCTTCCTCAATAGAAACAGCTTGTAGAATTTTGTCTGTTCCAGGGTCACGGGGATCCCAGTAAAAAATAGCATCAAGTTCAAACACCTAGTGGGCTTTGGGCCAGGAGCTTTCTGAACAGGTTCAGTTATACTGTAGTTAACAGACAAGATGGAGAATTCCAACACCCAAGTTGGGTTTGTTCCTCTCCCCTGAGTGCATGTGGAGGGTGGAACTCTGCAGACCAGCCCCGGAAAGGGAGCAAGAACTGGGGTGGGGAGGGTGGGGGGAGGGGGGCGGTCAACCGCCTCGGTCTGCAGCCCTTTCCCAGAGACCTCACCTTAGTGTGTCTTTAACCCGGACCTCACTCGGTTCTGGCCCACCACCCTTTAGGAAGGAAGGGGGCGCCGGTCCGGCCAGGCAGCCCGGGCAGCGAAAAACAAACTGAGACGCGGTTCCCCCGAGCGTGCCCGGAAGCCCGCTGCCGGTTAGTCCCGGCCGCCGAGGCCCGAGGCGATTGGCACCCTCGCCCGCGGGCACGGGCACAGCGCGGGACGAGCGGGGAGCGCGCGCTCGGGTGATCGCAGGACTCGGCCCGCCACGCACTAGGGCGGCGGCGGCACAAGAGGAGGAGGCGGAGGCGGAGGAGGTGGAGGGCGCCGAAGCCACACCCATCGGCGAGCGGATCCGGGGGCACGGAGTCGTCGGCCGCCGAGC